AAAAATCTGTTTGGAAAATATTTGTATTTTAAACAGTTTTTGTTTTTGTTTTAGTGGGTGTTTTATTATTAACTTTAAAATAAGTCCACTCATAAAAACTTAAATCTTCAGGGAATTCATAAAATTCTTCCCAAAAAGATTCTCTTTATTCTTTTGAAAAAGTTTTTCGGATAATTTTTCTAAAATTTTTGACATTAAAAAACTTATCAGTTTTAAATTCATTTCTTCTATCAATCTCAAAAGAAATAATATTACATTCATGATCAAGTCTCTCATTTTGAGAAGGAGGAATCATATCAGATAAAATTGGAGAATCAGGTTGTTCTGATTCTTCTTTTTCTTTATATTGAGGTCTTGGAATATTAGGATTGAAATCAACACCAGAAAGAGAAGATATTGAATATCTAGTAGATTGAAAAAGAAGTTCTAAGTCTATCTTCAGATTTAGAAGAGTAAGATCTTTGAAATCTAAAGAAAGATCTTTTGAATATCATCTTAACATTTCCATCAGAAAAAATAAGAATTTGATTAGGAGTTGTTTGAACAGAAGAAGGATTAGGATTTTGAATATTTTCAAAATTTCATTCAAGTCCCCTGGATTGTAAATTCCATGGAACTCTTTTTGGAATCATGATATTTGAATGAAAATAATTACATTCAACCAAAGACTTTCATCTTTTGGAGATGAACAAAGAGCGTCAATATTGAGCTGAGTATTCGTAAGCTTGAAATATATTCTATATATTACAGCAAAAGCATTTGAACAATCATCAAAATTAAGATTTTTTGTTTGAATTTGAAGATTTAGAGCATTAAAAATAGCTCCATCATTGAGATTGATTGAAAATTTTGAATAAATAAAACCACTTTCTAGATTTAATTTTGGAACAGATAATAATTAATATTCAAATTTGACACGTCTTTTATTTCTAAAAGTTAAGAGAATAGGAATATTTAAACCAAGTCAAAACAATGATTTGACAGCAATTTGAATTAATCTAACATGAAGATATTTAAATTTGATCCTGCGAGATTCAATAAATTCTTTTGAAAATAAATTAATAAATACATTTTGACTTTTGATTGGTATAGTTTGTTCAAAAGTTTTAATAACATAATTTTGAGTAAAATCAAACTTTCCTATTTTGTAGATAGAGTTTTTCTCTACTTTTGGAATAGTCCAATTATGTAATCTTTGTTCAATTTAAAGTTCTTGACTATTGAAATCATTTGATGCAGATGCGGATGCTTGATCTAATTCTTCTTCATTTTGAAAAATATTTGTAATATTTTTATATTTATTTCTAGATCTCCTTAACCAATTTGAAATCTAAGACATAATCAAATAAAATGAAATTATAATAATTTAACACTATAGAAACAATACAATAAAATAGACTGACTTTTACCAAGCCTACAACGGGACCACCCAAAACACGTCAATACTAGTTGACCAACGCCAGTTAGCAGACGTGACATCCAGGTTCGAATTAGGCTATATATATTTTGATTGACAGAATGGAAATGGAATAAATCTCCAAATTCGGGATAGGGAGCATCTCTCGTGAAAATGACATGATAGAATCCAAGATGGTGAGAGTGCCTATAAACCATATACGAACATGTGCCAAACTTATTCTACAAGAAAAATAGGCAAAGTATATGATAAACCTACAGCAGCCTCAGCCCCTTAATGATTAGCAACTATTTGGAAACGGTTAGGTATTACCAGGTTGAAAGTGAACTGTCGAAGAGTGGGCACAAAATCCTGTGAAAGTCAAATTGCCATCCACCGCAAGCTCAGGCTGTATGGAGAATTTTAATTTCATTAGAGAAAACATTGTCAGACTCGTTCAACCAGCTCTTCTGCAGAGTTTGATTTCGTTGGAATAGTGAGAAATTAGAATGAAGTATCGGTACGCAATACCACCATTCATGCCTGTTGCCGAGTCTGGAGATCTTATTGGCTTTTAGAGCTTACTTCAGATCGACCACAGCTAATTGGGCTTACACGGATGGGTAATTTATAATTAATTACGCATAAAATTAATAAGAATTATCAGCTTCGTTTGCTATTTATTTAAAATTATATGATTTAACGCTATTTATAGTGAATAAATACCATTACTCTCAAGGGATGAGTTGTATTCAATCTAGAATTCTAAAGTAGACTTGAAGTCTATACATATCTATTTCTAGATAGAATACACCCTTTTAGGTTTTAGGGGTTTTCGTAAAAGCAAGAATTTGGAATTATAATTTGCCGGCTTTCATAATTTTTAAGAATAATTATTGAGGGATTCGTACTATTTTTCTCAATTATTTGTTTCCCTTCTTGATACATCAAGTGTTTGATTTTTAAATTCTAGATTCGACATGTTAAGTGAGTTTATTTGGATCAGTTTGATGTCAAAGTACATTTATCGGTCCTTTGTTAAGATGCGGCCAAGAAAACATCCTAATGATTGTCATAATGCAAAAAACGAAGTGATTTGTAGAGAGGAGTTGGTGCGTTTGCGCCAACTGGTGGATTTGTTGGCAAAACAGGTGGCTACAGTGATGAACCAACAACAGGAATTGTTGGCATCATCGGAATGTGGCTCTCACAGGAAAGACACTGATGTGAGGGGCACGGAAGCCACACTGTTGATTGTTGGAGCGACAGCAGGTCATGGAGTTGCTGGCATTGGTGATGTGACAGAGGGACACGGGGCAGGGAGTGGGGCTGCTGCCAATCCCTCTGATTCGAAAACCAACAAAAATTTTGATGTTAAGGACAAATACTCAGTACCCAATACCACCATTCACACCTTTGCTAAGTCTGGAGATCTTTTTGGCTTTAAGAGTTTACTTCAGGATGACCCTTCTCGTCTTTGTGAGAGAAGCATATTTGTAAGTACCCACACAGGCAATCTGACGATATGTTGATTGATGAATAATTTGTTTTGGGACTTATTCGGTAGTGATTATGAGAATTGATTTTTTAACAAAAGTGGGTTCCACCTATGAATGAAGAAATAAAAAATAATGGCTGAAATAGTGAAATAACAATCATAAAATTGATTTTTTTCGGTGAAAAATCGCCACCAAACAGGGGCTTGATCATATTTGGTGAAAATGTGAAGAATTCCATTTTGATGGAATGTGTTTTTTCTTCATCTGTTTGCCTTATTATTATCAATTTATGGTGTCGAAATATGTGAACTTCATTGTTACTTGTTTGACTTGATTTAATGGTTTATCTGGTGATGTATCTGCAATCTGTAATGAGGGTCGTACAAAATCAAATCTTCTTGCATCAATAATGCTCTTAAATTTTGGAATAAAAGGATTTTTTTTTTTTTTTTTTTTGCAGTTTATTTGAAGTTATGTTTCGGCGTTTTAGAGTTTTTCGTAAAAATAAGAATTAGGATTTACTATTTGGGGGCTTTCGTATTTTTAAGAAAAAATATTGAGGGATTCTTATAATTTTTATCCATTATTTGGTATTCGACTTGAATCATCAAATATTTGATATCAGAATTCTAGGGTTATTTATAGGTTCAACAAGTCTTTGGAGTGTTATTTGATTTCCGCTTACGGCTCATCAGTTTGGTATTAAAGCAAAGTATTCTATCACTTGTTAAGATGTAACCGAGGAAAAAACCAAATGATTATAATTTGCGTGAACGATGTGATTTGTAGAGAGGAGAAGCAATGTCGCCGACAGTTGGATTTTTTTGGCACAACAGGTGGCTACAGTGAAGCCCCAACAAGGAGAAATGTTGGTGTCGCTGGAATGCGGCAAGAGGGGAGCCCCCCGCAAGGAATATGCTGCTGTGAGGGGCACAATAGACAGACCATGGGTTGGTGGTGGAGGTGCCGTCATTGGTGGAGCAGCTGCAGGTCGTAGAGTTGCTGGCATTGGTGGTGCGGCAGTGGGACAATGGGAGGGGGTGTTGCTGCTGCTGCCACCAATGGCGCGGCAGACTATCCTTATTTGGACAATGTATCATAAAAAATTTGCAGAACGGGTTTGATGGGGATGAATCTAGGCAATTGGAAGCCTGTTTAAGGTAAAGTTCTGAAGCTTAACGGTGAAATGGAGCAGATGAATTCCTTGATTGGGAGAACGCGATGGAGGAGATCCTTGATCTTTAGGATGTCAGCATTGCAAACAGGTAAAATTGGTAGCAACGTGATTTGGAGTAAGCGCAACAACAATTTAAAATAAATTCGGTAAGAAATGTTATGGCCAAGATTTATATGTGGTTGAAACTAAAGAAGCATATTTGGACAGCATTCTTGCCCTATAATTGCTCGAAAGCCTTTTACCAATTGTTCCAAATAGCATCAAGGTTCCTGTTTGGTAGATAAATATTCTGTGGAATTTTTATCAATTGTCGGCTCCGAAAGTAATCACCGAATTGGACGATCAATTAGTGTCGAGGTATATTTGGGGACAGCGATTGCAATTGCAAGAAGATTTGAACTCATTTTTGCCCTTGGCCATTTCCAAAGCCACAAACGAGCTTTACAATTAGAGAAGCCATTATACCAATGACATATTGGTAGCATGGAGGGTGGAGTTGGCAGTGGCAGCAATAATAGGCCGCTGCTTCCAAGGGCAGTGACTTTGCTGCCCCTGTATTCTGCCAACTGCTGCAACGGTAGCTGGGGGAACAGTGTCTGCTGCTGCAACCAGCCATGGCAGTGGCAGTGTGCCAGCCGTGGCTGCTTTAGAGTCTGCTTTTGTGTGGTCTAGTAGAACATCTAATGCAGGAACCACACCCTCAGTTGCAGCAAATTTGCATTATTTTGTTAATGATTAGATATACGTGAATCAACGAGTCTTTAGACTCTTATTCCTATTCCCTTATATCCAACTGCATCATTTAGAAACTCAAAATGCACTATTATTTTATTTTTATTTTTTCTTTTTCTTTTTCTTTTTCTTCTCTTTTGAGGTCTTCTTGATGCATGCGAAATGTTAATGTTGACCATCATTTAAACAAACAAAAAAATTTTAAGATATGATATGGAAGGTGATTTTCTTCAGAAATGGATGTGAATAGATGTGAACATCAAGAAATAGAGATTAATTTTGTACTTCATAAAGTTCTGTCATTGCAATCTTTGGATAGAAGTAAACAATTTGGTGAGAAACCATTCTTGGAACATTAAACAATATTGTTTCAGGTTCCATTCTTCCTAGTTTTGAAGCTGTGGTGTCACATTTCTGCACAATATTCAAAACAGCATTTGTCTATATGTTTCTTAAAGAAGATTAGATGCTGAGTTTTATCATCTAGTTAACTTTGGTTCACGAAAATGCCCTTACATGAGTTTAGTTGTTGTTGTTGTTGTTTTTTTTTTTTTTTCACTGATAAATTCTTATTTGACCTCTAGCCTAGATAGTTTAGCTAGTGCTGAGAATTAGAATGCAGAAAATGTGACAATTAGTCTTTCTATTCGCGCCAGTTAACTGCGTATTTAATTTGTATTTTCAACTACAGGAAAGTAGCTCTTTGTATTTCATGAAAGAAAATGTAGTTGTATTCTAATTGCTACGTGCCTACATGAAGATTGGTAACCTTAACTTTCTTGATGCAGTTGTCACAGACACCACTACATATTTCGGTCGCAAACAATAAAGTTGAGATAGTCAAGTATTTGCTTGACTGGAAAGGACCAGGCGAGATCGAGTTGGAAGCTAAAAATGCTGTATGTAAAAGCAACTTAAAACTAAAATCTCTCTGGTTTGAGAACAAATAAAGTCATTCAAATAGTCTCATATTATGTTGTTTTATTTTGTTTCACTTTCCAGTATGGTGAGACTCCCTTACATTTGGCAGCTCAGAATGGAAACAACGAGGTAGCAAGGATGCTTCTATCTCAGCATGCCAACATCGAAGCCAAAACCAATGTCCATGTTTAAATTGATAATTTTTTATTCTTTTTTGTTTTCAGTTCAGGTTATGTATGAGTTATCAAATTTCTTGTGTTTTGGCGTACTTTGTGCAGAACGGTTTGACTCCATTGCATCTTTCTGTTTTCTATGCCCTAGAATATGGAGACTACTCAACAATGTCGACATTGTTAGATTGCAATGCTAATTGCTTTGCAGAAAACAACGTATGTTTCCATAGTTCACTTTGTTGAGGTAGTTAATTTCTTTCTTGTCTCCATGGTGTTAATTTTGTGAATGTTTTTTATGCAGGAGGGCTTGATTCCTTTAGACTATGTCCCGGATACTCTAGATAATGAAGAATTGCGCAGACTCTCCCAAAATGTTGAAGAGCTGAGACGCCGTGATTACAATGTAGTTACACACAGTGGAGGGCAAAAAATATTAGACGAGCTTGCCTGCGAATTATCAAAGCTAGTGGGACTACATGAGCTTAAAGTGCAACTTCGGAAATGGGTGAAAGGGATGATTTTGGATGACAAGCGCTGGTCCATGGGGATAGATCTTGGGCCCCGGAAAGCACCTCACATGGTATTCCTTGGAAATCCTGGTACAGGTAGAATGACCAAATGGCCTACTTAACGTTATCTTTTTCCAAGAAAGTGATTGTTAAAAGTTTTAACAAGCCATAATCTGTCTCATGTTGATAGTTTAGTTCGGTAGTCGTTTGAGCTTATGTTTGTCGATATTTTCTGAACAGGAAAGACTACTGTAGCCCGCATTCTTGGTAAACTACTCCATTCTATGGGTTTTCTTCGTTCCAATAGCGTAACTGAAGTTCAAAGAACGGATTTGGTGGCTGAATATATTGGTCAAACCGGACCAAAGACTAGAGAAAAGGTATTGGCTTCACGACTCAGAGTTTTCTATGATTGGACTCTACACATTCCAAAATTATAAACAAATTTATGATGCCTGTAACAGATTGAAGAGGCCAGGGGAGGTATCTTTTTTGTGGACGAAGCATACCGTTTAGTACTTGAACAGACAGCAAGTTACAAGGATTATGGGCTGGAAGCTTTAGAGGAGATCATGTCTGTATTGGAAGATGGAGATATATTAGTAATTTTCGCGGGTTACACAGAACCAATGAAGCATTTAATGTCTTCAAACAAAGGATTATGTAGAAGGGTAACGCGTTTCTTCCATTTCGATGATTTTAGTTCGCGGGACCTTGCCGAGATTGTGCATGTAAAGATGACTCAACAAAAGAAGGGGAGCGAATTCTGCGGATTCAGGTTGCATCCTTTCTGTACTTTAGAAGCTGTAACCGCAGTCATGGAGAAAGAAAGCACAGAAAAGTTGCGCAACAAAATGAACGGGGGATTAGTGGATCATATGCTAACTAATGCGATAGAAAACTTGGATGCGAGACTTAGTCTCGATTGCGAAGGTTATGAGTTACTTACGATCATGTTAAACGATTTAGAGGTCGGACTTCAACAATTATCATCGCGTATAAATATTGTCGAAAGAGAGAAGGAACTAAGACATACATTAGAGGTGTAAGAATAACTTTGATTTCATTTGGATTATGATTCTTTTTTAGTTGCATTTGTATTTGGAATTTTTATGTCGAAATGGTCCGGTCCTATGCCGGGCTTTTTACGAGCTGGGTCGCAACGGTCCTGAATAGTCTGGTCCACTTTGACATCACTAAGACAATATTCAATATGGATCAAACAATTCACTCATATAACATTTTGCATGACAAAATGAATTCAATTTCAGTACCATATGAGAAATACATAAGATGATGCATAGGTGAAATTTATTTATTTAAATTATGTCTTCAGTATACCGGCTTACGTGAATCTCAGATTCAATTTCTTTATCCAATATTTGAGACTTTACGTGAATCTCAGATTCAAGATGTGTGGTCATCGGCACTCTAGTACCATGGTTAACATGTAGAGATGGGAAGAATTTATAAAAAAATTAATTCATAAATAGACAGATAGAAATGAGTACTAAATAAAGTTCGACTATTTATAAATGAGATATATTTTGCTAAGGGGATAATATCTTTGACAATGAAGAGTAGATTTTGTAAAAGGTGATTTTTTTAAAGAATGTGATGTGATGAGATTTAAGTAGGAAAAGTTTTGAATTACGTGTAAAATTATATTATTGTGAGAATATGTGATTGAAAATCATTTGTGAAAAATGAGTTTGAAAATTGGGTTCAAACATGGGATATTATGATGTTACTCAAATTAATGGCATTATAGAGAAACTATTCACATAAAGCATTGATGCAGCAATCATGACCAACAAAATAGCATCCATGAAATTATCACAATATAAGTTAAAAACTAATTCTCTTGCATAATTTTTTTCCCACGTTATCTGTTAAATGAATTAGTCAAAGTCAGCATTTATAAAACATTTACAATCATTCTTGTCAAACAGGGTGAACGACACCCTGTTGACAGGGATTTGAAAAAATCCAACGTGCCATTTACACGCAGCTTCCATTTTCCTCCAAATTTCTGCAAATAATCTTCTTCCTTTTTCAACGACCGACGTCGACATCTCCATTTGTTCATATCCGGCCAACTGAAGAATTAGTTCAAACCCGATTTCGTGTTCGCCGTCGGAGCCATTGTAGCCTTGAGGGTGCAAGATGGGACTTATTCTGTAACCTTGTTTTTGGAAATTATATTCTGTAACCTTTTTGGAGATCATGTTCTCGTCACTGTTGGAATAGGATATGAAGTACACTTTGAATCTTTTTCTTCATTTAAATTTGGTAGGAATTGTAATTGTTTTCAGGGTCATCTACCTCCAGTTGATTATGTTCCAGTGATCAATTTACCTGTCCATTTCTCAACAATTTTTTTTACCTTAATGGGAAAGTCCTTATTCTCTAACCATGTACTCGTGGACTTCAACATTATCTCTGATTAGCATGTAATTGATGTACAAATTCATGGAAGTCTCTTTTAATTAATTTGTAGGAATTCACAACTATCTTTAACACCAGACTTATTCCTCGAGAAAAGACTTCTAACATAGATGAATTGGCACACATACAAGGTGTTTCAACTACTGATTCTATAAAGAAAATTGAACCCATACGTTCACGCATCAAAGTTATGGTCTTTCTACTTATGCAAAGCATAAAAGTTGAAATTGCAGTGACGGAAATCTGGTGCTGACTTCACCACCGGCCGGAGATGGTCAAGCGTCTAGCGACAAAACGATGGATGGAGGAGTAGTCGGAGTGGAGGCGAAAATCATTGATGGAAACAGTAGTCGAGTTCTTTAGGTGACAGCTACTGTGTAGACAATGGGTGAATTAGGGGCAAATGGCGTGGGGTGGCGGGTGAATTGGAGGAAATACCTATAGATAGCCTAAACAAAAGAGAGTTTTGTAAGATTAGACCAAAAAATATAACCATTTCAAGAATAGCCTTTGAACAATAATTTTTTTCCAAAAATACCCCTTATTGTAAAATTGCAACCAAAGCCACTACAATGTATAAAAACCTGCAATTAGGTTCTCAAAAAAATATAAATAAAAAATCTTTAATAAATTTAAACCCAAATATTATACAAAATTTTATTGATCTAAAAAACGCAACAGAAAATGAATTGAAATATTTAGAAGAATATCTAAAAGGTTTCTTTACAGAATATTTAGATCTAAAATTAAAAAATAAAAATGTTTCTATAGATAATAGAACAATCAAAACAGAAAATGATAGCCATGTTACAAATCTAAAATAATGATGAACATAGTAGATGAAGAAAATATAATTGAAGAATTTTTAAAAAAAATAGAAAAACATAAAAAACCTAGTTATCCCTATTTACCTAAAAACACCACAAATAAAAGTTTTGAGGATATACATAAAAGATTAGAAAACTTAGAACATAATCTACAAGTAGGAAATGCTCTTTTAGATAAAAATCTTAAAGAAAAAGATAGAATTATAATTAATCCACCTCAAGATTTTAGAATAACACAAAAGGAAAAAAATGAAAAAAATAATAATATATGATTACAGATGTAGAATAAATAGAATAAAAATTCTTAGAATTTACAGGTGAAGAGTATGAAGAATATAAAAAACAGTTAGAAAAATTAACTGAAAAAATGGAAAATACAAAGATGAATATTAATCCATCTTCAAGTCAGAATATAAAAGTAGAATTCAGTAGTGATGAAACATATGATTATCCTTATGGTACTCCAATACCTGATAAGGTTGATATTAATCAATATAGAAAAACACAAAATAATACACTGAAAATGTAAGAAAACAATCCATAAAAGAAATAAATCCAATGAAATCCTATAATGAATCAATCCACATAACAGGAGTATGGTTAGATTTAGACTGTGTAAATAAAAATAAAGCTATAGAAACTTGGATAAAAAGCACAGATTTAGCAATACAATTTAATAAATGGGAAACATATACAGTTTTTGGATTTATAGAATATACATTCAGAGGAATTGTTTCTGAATGGTGGAGAAAGTTACCAGAATCTATTAAAGAAAGAATAAAGTATGGAAATAATAGAACTGGAGTATTAGATAATATGAATACTTTAAATGATCAGAATATACAAGAAATATTAAAAAGATTTGAAAAAATCTTAAGAATAGAATTTTTAGGAGATAGATATGCTACTAATGAAGAAGAAAGAAAACAAGACGAATATAATGAAGGAATGATAGCAATAGAAAATTTAAAGATATGTGATATGTGTGAGTTAGAAAGATACACATGTAAATTTGAAGAATTATACTATATATTAAATCAAGGAGATTATCAAGAAAATAAACACATATTAAGGTCTTATTTTACGAAGTTACCATTCCCATGGGGAATTAAGTTATTAAAAGAATATGAAAAATTATTACCTCTAGGAGAAGAGGAAGGAGTAAAAATAGATAGTTTTGGAAGTAGAATTGAATTTACAAAAAGAATGATAGGTATGTGGTGTAGAGAAGCTTTAGAAAATAAAAAAACATATAAAATAAGAAAGAATTCATTATGTTGTTACAAAAATATTGGCCAAGTTGAACAATTTGGATGTCATAAGAAGAAATATAAACCGTATAAGAAATATAAAAGAAAATTCAAAAATTATAAAAAAATTCAAGAAAAGAAATTTTAAACCACACAAAAAATATTCAAGAAAAGAAATTGGAATAAAAAAATTAAACCAAGAAATATTAAAAAATGTAGATATTTTATTTGTAATGAAAAATAACATATTGCCCCTCAATGTCCTAAAAAGAAAGATAGACAGAATATAAAAACTCTTAAAATTTATGAAAAATTCCAAGATGATAGTGATATAGAACCAATTGAATATTTTGGAGATCTAAGTAGTGAATGCAGTAGTATTTATGAATCAAATACATCCTCAATAGAGGAAGATTATGAGGAAATAGTATATATGAATCAGGAGATACAACAATCAAAAATAAAGATAGAAACAACTAAAGACTCTATGGAAAGTATAAATCAAGAAATTACCTTTGATATTAAAAAATACACAGGAATAACCAAGAAAATATTAGACTTACAAGAAAAAGATGTATTCCATCAAGGATTCTTAGGAATATTACCAAGAGTAAATAAAACGATTGTAAATATGAATTATAAAGAGATGTCTATACATATAGAAGATACTATAGAAAAAGCAAGAATTCCTATAACTACAAAAGAATGAGTAAAACAAAAGTTCTCCAAAATCCCAGAAAATGTAAGAAACAAATTAAAATGGATTGAAATATGAGGAATCCAGATAATGGTAAAAAGATTCTTTAGAGAAGGTATGAATATACCAATAGAAATATATTGTATGGACAATAGAATCTTACAAGATCCTATAGATGCTCTATTAGAAACAGTTGTAGGAAACTTAGTTTACCAGAAGATAATATTTACAGTAAAACCAAATTATGCAATATCATTAAATGATGAAAACATTGATCAAAGTTTCAATCTATATTATAGAATTGGAAACTTGAAAATGTTACGAAGAAGTAAGGCTATTAGTTTAAGCATAAAATCAATTTTTGCTTTTAGTACTCGTCATCATAGCAATCTAAGGAAGATAACTGATAATATTATCATATATAAAGATTTTGAGGAATTAACACAATATATACCTCATAGAAAATACCAAGAACATGAAATCACTATACCAGAACAAATAATGTTTAATTTCCATAAACAAGCTAAAGAAATTAATTCCAAAGGAAAATTAATAAGAAGAAATAGTGTCAGCTTAGAAGGAGATAATCTTATTGCAAGATTTCCCTCTAGACAAGACGCTAGGATAAGCAGACTTAAGAATTTAAGTATTGCTGAACCATCAAGTTCGCAATATTATATTAAGACAAGATGTGTAAATCAAGAAGGATATAAGAAGAATATTCTTGTCCTCATAGATACTGGAGCAGATAAAAGTCATGTAAATGCTAAATTTGTTAGTCATTTAATAGACTTTGAAATACCAGAACCATATATATTTAAGGATTATTTGGGAAATAATCTTGAAATAAGAAAATTTGTTAAGTTCCCTCTTATA